CTTTTAAGGGTAAATTTTACCCCATTACAATATTAAACTATTCTCATATGAGTTCTTCCTTTGTAAAATGAAGAGATTGTACATTTAACTATCTGCTATGGGCAAGGCTCTCTTCTCTGATGGAGGATGCTATGAGATGTATAGGACCCTAACTTTAGAGCGAGAGAGACTTGGAGGCCAAATCCCCTTATTTTTTTTTTTTTATACAGATGAGGAAATTGAGTTCTAGGAAGATTATATAACTTGTCTCAGGTCACATAAGTAGAAAGCATCAGAGGCAGCATTTGAAACCTGGGTTCTCTGTCTTCAGAACCCAAGATCTTCCTACCTACCATACCCTATACCTGCAGGTTTAACAGGAGAAAAAGCAAAGAAATATGATATGTGAGAGAGTGAGATAATAATATGGGCACAGTGCCAGGAGAAATATGATGAATGAAGTAGAGCAGGGGTGGGGAACCTGCCACGTGTGGCCTCAAGGCTGCAGATTCCCCACCCCTGAACTAGAGGAAGGAGAATTCAGGGAAAGGTTCATGGAGAAAGGAGCGTCTGAGCTGGGTCTTGGAGGACGGGAATTCAATTGATAGAAATAAGGGGTGAGGGCAAATCCACTTCAGTCATGGAGGACCACGAGAACCGAGTCATAAAGAAGGAAAAAAACCCAGAACGTGAAAATGGAGGTCAGTTTAATAGGGCTGAAATGTAAGGACTCTATGAGAGAAAACTGGAGAAGAAGGCTGGAGCCAGGCTGTATTGCTCTCTGAATGCTTGGATCCATAGTAAAGACTTTGGTCAGTGGGCAGCAGACAGTCAGGGAAGGTTTGTGAGTACACCACAGATGCATCCACAGGGATGCCTTAGGGAGATTGCTCAGGGCCTTATGTGCCCGATGAATTTAAAGGGGAGAAACTGGAGGTAGGGAGATTTCATAAGAGTTTATTTTAAGTATCTGCTCTGTTCTGGGAACTAGGCTGGCCTCTGTGGGAAATAGAAAGCTTAGCTAAGACAGTCCCTGTCCTCCTAAAGCTTATAGCCTTATGATACTTGGAGCATTTTCTATATGCCAGGCTCTGGGGTAAGCAATGGGCATACAAAATCAAGCTACCAAGACTGTCCCTACCCTCAGGAAGCTTCCCTTCTAATGAAGGAGCCTAATGCATAAAGCAGGATTCACGATGCTTTCAAAGATACTCTGATGTGACATATGGGTCAAAGCCAGTTAGAGGCTCTTGAGGTTCCATGTTTTTCTTCAGTCTCCACAGTTTGCTGCTCATGATTAATAATAATAATATGCATTTTATATAGACCTTTAAGGTTTGCAAGCCCTTTGCACACATTAAATTATTTTGGCCTTACGGCAACTGTGCATGATGGGTACTGCATTATCTTCCCCATTTTACCAATGAGGAACCTATTAAGTGCCAGCCATGTGTACCCAGCTCATAAGGGGTCTAAGGTGGTATTTTAGCCCAAGTCTTCTTGACTCTTCTATTTACCAGACCTCTCTATCATCTATTTCTCTCTGGTCACTCATCCCTTGAAAAAAAAAAAAGGGAGATTGGCTGTTAACCCCTGGCTGGAACTCCATTCTGCGACAAAAGGGAAGAGCAGGGGATGGAGCGGCTCTCATTCTAGTCTGGCCTCTAACTAGTTAGTTGACCATGGCCAGGTCACCTTCTCAACCAGTGTTCTCAGGTTGCTCATCTGTGAAACAACGGGGTCAGGCTAGAGACTCCTGGAGGTCCCTTCCAGGTTCAGGCTAGGGGTCCTGGAGGTCCCTTCCAGGGTCAGGCTAGAGGGTCCTGGAGGTCCCTTCCTGGGCTAAAGCTCTCTGATTCTGACCTTCCAGGTACAACAGTAAACAAGCTTCAAGAGGTTCAGGTACCCCTTCTTGATCAGTTTTGGTGTCAAATCCTCTATGGAAACATATTCCTCATCCAGGAAGACATGATATGTGCCACTGACATGATCCATAGGAACAGCCCATGCCAGGTAAGTGCTGCTGGACTGAGCTGGCTCAGAGGAAGAAGGACCAGGTTCAGCAGGACGTTCAGGCTGGGTTGGCCACTTAAGAAAAAGGTGGGCAGGTATAGATATTTGGACAGACAGGTTTTAGAGTTCAGAAGGCAGGAAGAGATGCAGAGCAGCCCTGATGAATGGGGTGGGTAGGATCTGATTCATGAGAATCATTGGGATTCATGAGACATAGTGAACAGACTGCTATACTTGGAGTCAGAAAGACTCAGATTCAAATCTTGCCTTTTACTAGTATTTTTTACTCTGGGCAGACACCCAACTCTCTAGATTTCAGTTTCATCATCTGTAAAATGATAGGGAGTCTTTAGTTTTAGAGGAGAAACCCACTCCAGTCAGGGAAGGTCACATGAACCAAGCCACAGAGTTGGAAGAAAACAGAATGAAAATGGAGGTTAGTCCGATATGGTTGGAAGTGTTGACCCCCAAGGTTCATTCCAACTATAAATAAATCTATGATAATTTATTGAGTGCCTAATATATAAAGTGTGCTCTGCTGGAAATAGAGGCGGGGGGGGGAGGAGAAATACAAAATTTTGACAAATACATTTGTTCCTGCAAAGAAGGAAGTAAAAGTCTAGCAGAGGGATGAGACACGAACACAGGTAAATAGAAGACACAATGACCCTTCCCCTGGATGGGAGGTGATGGTGGTGAGGGAGATAGATGAATGCTGGATCCTAGGACAGATAAGGCATGAGAAGGTGATGATGGGGAACTGGACTCTAGTTTATGGAAGGGAAGGGAAAAGCCGAGGTCAGAATATCCCTAGAGAACGAGGAATCCTGGGATGGTGTGATGGGCATTGAGAGGACTGGGGCTAGGGTGCTGGAAACAGTTCATTGAGTGGTAACATCAGAGAGGTCTTAGGAGGAAGACCTAAAACTATCACAAATAGTGGGATCAAGGGAAGTTATTTGGAGGAGATACGTTTGAGCTGAAGTTTAAAGAATAGGTTTGGAGACAGGAGGGAGGAGGAAATGATGCAGGAGGTAATGGGAGAGACAAAAGGCAAGACAGTTTGGCTAGAATATCGAATATGTAGAGGGAAGGAAGGGGAGATGAGGCTGGAAAAGAATATGGAGGGCCTTGAATGATAGGAAAAGGGGAACCATTTAAAATCAAGGCCAAAGATACATAGAAGGCACCTGTGGGGTATGGGTAGAGATTGGGAAGGGAAAAATTGTTCACAAGTGGGAATCCAGGAAGAATGCAAAGAGCACAGGAGTTGGAGTCAAAGGTCTTGGGTTCAAATCCCGATTCTCACTGTTTGTGGGACTTAGGGCAAGATACTCAACCTGAGACTTGGTTTTCCCATTGGCCAAATGAAGGGGTTGGACTGATGTCTGAGGTCCCTCCTGAGTCTAAATCCTATGACTATATGATTTCCCTTTCAGCCCCACTAAGTGTTTCTTCTACAGCCAATTCCTATTAGGTCTTTATTAAACCTGTGGTAGATTCTTAGTAGTATTTGTTGAACTCAATTGAATTTATGGAGCATTGGACTTAGAGTCAGGAAGAGCTGGTCAAACCTAGCCTCAGATACTTACTAGCTCTGTGACCCTGGGCAAATCACTTAACTTTTGTCTGCCTTAGTTTTTTCATCTATAAAATGAAGAGGGTAAACCCAAAGGTCTCTCTTATTAATGATCCTATGACCCCATGACAAGAAGCAAGCTTCACCCCACCACCCCATCTCATTATGAATTAATTCTTCCCTTCCTCTTCCTAGGGCGATTCTGGAGGACCCCTTGCCTGCAAATTCAACGACACCTGGGTCCAGATTGGGGTGGTGACCTGGGGTAGAGGTTGTGCCATGCCTTTATTCCCTGGTGTTTTTGCTCGAGTTCCTTTCTTCTCAACATGGATCTCAAGTACCATGAAATCTGTCATCATCTCCAGATCAACAACCATCATCGGTTCCTGGATAACTCTCCCGACTTCACTACTGTTTCTCCATGTCCTAAGAATCCCATGACTGTCCCACCTGTCTTTCCTCCCTTCTTAGCTTCTTTACAAACCTTCCTTCTTCTTCCAAATCCCTTCTCAACTCTTACAGCTTCAACAAGACCTCCCTTCTCCTTTTCACTTCATCTGCCCTGTCTTCATGCTAACCCTCCCCTCTGCCTCCCCTGGATGGGAGGTGGTAGTGGTGAGGGAGATAGATGAATGCTGGGTTCTAGGACAGATAAAGCATGAGAAGATGATGATGGGGAACTGGGTTCTAGTTTGTGGAAAGGAAGAGAAAAGCCAAAATCTGAGTCTCCTTAGAGAACGAGGAATCCTGGGATGGTGTGATGGGCATTGAGAGTACAGGGGCTAGGGTGCTGGAAACAGTTCATTGAGCCTTAATAAGGACTGAGGCTCCAATGATCTAATTAAAGTGTTGCAAAGCAGAAAGTGGTGGCGTTCTGCATTTGTCCTCAGGGCAGACGGTCTTATTTCCATGGACACCCAAGGGGTGTGTCTACCCTGCAACATGGGAAAAACACCAAAAAACCCCCCCAAAGCATGCTGTCAAAGCCTATATTCTACAGCACCAAGGCATCTGGAGCTAGACAAGGTCTTAGAAATCATCTAATTCAACCTCAGTTCAATTAAATTCGGCAGCCATTTTTGAAAAAAAAAAAGTGAGAGTTTTATTGATGCCTTGTGTTTTGACATCACAGACGGTCCGGACTATGTAGCTGCCTCCCTCCCCCTGCCCCTTATCTAGTGAGCCTTCCTTTGTGATGAAGAAAAAGTTAAACAAAACCAGCTGACACAGTGAGTATATTTGACAGCATATACAGAATTCAGCACCCAGACCCTTCCTCTTCATCCTGATTCGAGGAGAGGAGGAAGAGCATCAGTCATTTACGAAGCCTCTGCTGTGTTCAAGGTGCTGGGATCTGTGCTGAGATAGATACAAAGTTTAGGTAAGACAAGGGCAAAGGTCCACATTCTATAAACTCTGTGACAGCTCACTACCTCACACAAGACAGCTCATTCCATCGCTGGGCATACCTCAGTGTTAGAAAGTTCCAACATTGACCTGAAATCTTCCTTCTAACTTCTGCCCACTACAGTAGGTCTGCTCTCCTGGAGTCCAACAAAACAAAATGGAATCCATTCTCTATGGGACAGTCCTTCAAATATTTGAAGACAGTAGTGATGTCCCTTCTAAGTCTTGACAGTAGTGATGTCCTTTCTAACTCCAGGCAAAATGTCCTCAGTTCCTTTAATGTAACTGTAGGGCATGGGTTCCAGTCCCCCTCACCAACCTATGTGTTCTTTTCTGGATGCTTCTCAAATTGTTAATGTCTCTTTATAATTGTAGTGTCCAGAATGGACTGCATGCTGTGCATGACATGGTGGGTACAGTGCTAGACTTGGAATCAGAAAGTCTTGAGTTCAAATCCCTCCTCCAACCCTTGCTAGCTATACAATCCTGGGCAAGTCATTTAACCTCTGTCTCAGTTTCCTCATACAACATTTACAAGGTTGTTGTGAGGATCAAATGATTGTTGTTCAATCATTTTTAGTCATTTCTGACTCTTCGTGACTCCGTTTGGGGTTTTCTTGGCAAAGATGCTGAAGTGGCTTTCCATTTTCCTCTCCAGATCATTTTACAGATGAGGAAATTGAGGCAAAGAAGGTTAAGTGACTTGCCCAGGATCACACAGATTACTTACTAGTGTCTCAGGCCAGATTTGAACTCAAGAAAAACTCAAGAGTCTTCCTGACTTCAGGCCTGGTGCTCTATCCATTGCACCACCTAGCTAGCCACTGGCAAAAAAAGAAGTCCCATAGTTGTTTTGAGGATCAAATGATACAATATATGTAAATTTTTTTTGCTTTGCAAATCTTAAATATATGCAAATGAATATATTTAAATGCAAATACAAAACATAAATCTTATTCTTCCTCCTCCTCCTCTTCCTCCTCCCACCATTCTTTAGGGGAGGGAGCAGGGCAGAGGACAGAGGACCAATCACTTCCTATACTCAAGATGTCACACTCTGTCTTCCCTGCCGAATATCTCACAGTGATGGATGGATTTATTGATGGAATTCAGCCCTGATTTCTTCCTATGGCTCAGAGGTGACCCTGGGTTCTTGCAAACACTTCTAAGAGAGTAAAAACTATAATGGGTCTTGCTATGCTGTAAAGATTTTGGGTATGGGTCTAGTAACGTACCATTCATCTACTTTCCAAGAACTACCCAGCTATGTGGAGAAGGGAACACCCCAGAAGGTCAGCTATTGAGTATGAATTTTTTTGGCTACAGTAATTCATGAAGCCCAACATGTCTAGGGGTTGCAATCTTCTTGTTGAAGGAACCATTCCTGCCTCTTCCTCCCTAGCCCACCTTCACCCCTGACCCATCATAGGCCAATCCTCTTTGAAAGGCATATCTGCCTAGATGAATTGTATAGACTCTTGAGTTCCTGAGATATTGATGACTTCTCTTCATTAGTTACCACCAACATGCCTACACACTAAGGGAACCAACTTCACTGGGAGAATTAAATGATTTATGAGTCTTCTTCCATGGGTGGCCTACCTTCTCCCATTAGACCAAGATCTTTTTCATCTCCCCAGAGCAGGGGTACCCAAGAGGGAGAAACTGAGTTTCTATCTTTTAAAGTAAATATTCCTTTGTAAAAGGTCCAGGGTTACACGCAGAAGATATAATTACCTCATCTTCAGAAGATATAATTACATCTTATATATATATATATGAAGATGTATATACATATATGATATATTATATAATATATAAGAAGATATAATTACAAATAAACATATGGGAGGCATAGTCCTCCTCCCTCTTTGTACCACCTCAGCTTCTGGGGAGGGGAAGATGGTTAGGTTCGTAGCTTAGCTCGGTTCCCATAGAACACAGTCCAGTTCCAAGTCCAAACCCTACTTTGGGCTTGAGTCCCACACATCCTGACTTCTCAGGGCTTCCAAAGCATCCTGGCTGGCTGTACTCCCTGCAGTCCTGACTCCAAGGTCATCATGGCTCAAACTCCCAGTCCTGTGGGGATGACCTCCAGCACCTGAAACTGAGGAGGGTAAACAACACAGAATGGAAACACACACTGCCAGACCTGTTTCTCAGAGCTGAAGTAAAAGAGAGGTAAGCAGGGGAAGGATTTTCTTTCCCCTCTTATCGGTTAAGTTCATGGCATCCATTCTGGGTGAAGCAGCTGAAAAAGATGGTAGAAAAAAGAGTGCAGCCCGAAGAGAGCAAAAGTCTCAGTCTTCACAGTTTTAAAGACACAGGCAGTCAGTCAAAGGAGGCTGCCCCCAGCCATACGGTAGGGAACACATTGGGCTCCATGTTAGGCAAACTGAGCATGCTACTCAATCATGTTTCCAAAAGGGGGGTGGGAAGAGACAGACTTGATGTAGTAGATGTGAGGCAACCACCTGTGAGGATAGCTGGTTCCTCATGAACCAGCTCCTTCATCCTTCAGACGAAAAGCTAAAAAACATCTGAAAGCTAAAAAAACAAACAAACAAGTTTAGGGATGTCCTTTGGCCTGAGGGGCAAGGTGACTCAGTAGATGATGGCCTGAAAGTAGGTGTTTAGGGGAGGATCCCACACCATAAATATTCTTGCTCAGCTCAGGTTTTATAGTGTTTTTGGTGGAAGACTCTGCCCTCAGCCCCAGCTTCCCCATTGCTTCTCCCAGACACTTTCTGAAGGGTGAGTTCAGGGCTAGGAATAAGCTGGGGGAGCAGGAAGCTAGTTATTGGGGGTATGAATATGATGACTACTCAGGATAATTAGGTTGTTGTCAGAGACAACATAAATTTCATGGAGCCTCAGAGTTAGAAGTGATGTCAGTGGCCACCTAAGCCAACCTTTATCTCAGAGATAGTCCTCGCTACAACACACATGAGGTGGTTCAGATCTTACTCAGGAATGTAGAGGGGCATTAATCCAACATGGCATGAGGAGCTCTGAGATCCCTAGCACTAGACAATTTTCTATAGCGAAGGCTCTAAGGTCCCCAGGAGTAGGGGGCTTCCATACCATGAGATCTCCAGGACAAGAAAGCTCTCTAGAGAGGGTGCCTTGAAGTCAGTCAGTTAATAAAGATTTATTAAGTACCTACTGTGTTCCAGGCACTGTGCTAAGTCTTGGGAATATAAAAAGTGGCAAAAGACCGTTTTTGTCCTCAAAGAACTCAGTCTTGTGAGCTGGGGCGGGAGAGAAAATAAACAAACAAGGTATAGGATAATTAACAAAGAGAAGTCACTAGAATTATAAAAGGGGTTGGGAAAGGTTTCTTGCAAAGTATGGGATTTTAGTTGAGACAGAGAAGCTAGGAGGCTGAGGTAAGTAGGAAGGCATTCTAAGTATGGGAGCAGCCAGAGAAGATGCCTGGAGCTGAGAGATGGGGTGTCTTGCTTGTGGGTCATCAAGGAGGTCAATGTCACTGTGTTGAAGAATACCTATTGGGAAGTAAGGTGAAAGAAAATTGGAAAGGTAGGAGGGGGCTAGGTTATGAAGGCTTTTGAATGTCAAGCAGATTTTGTAGTTGATCTTGGAGGCAATAGGGAGTTTGTTGAGTGGGTGTGTGTGTGTGTGTGTGACATGATCAGATCTTCACTTTAGGAAAATCACTTTAGGGACTGAATGAAAGGTGGACTGCAGTGGGGAGAGACTTGAAGTAGGCAGACCCACCAGAAGTGGGCTCTTGCAATGGTCCAGGTGTGAGGTGATGAGGGCTTACCCCAGAGGAGTGAAAGGGATGAATTCAAGAGATATTGCAAAGGTGAAATTGACAGGCCTCAGGGACAGCTTGAATATGGAGGGTTAGAGATAGTGGGAATTTCAGGATGACTTCTAGGATGGAAATCTGAGGGACTGGGAGGATGGTGTTGCCCTCCACAGTAAGAGAGAGAGTAGGAGGCTGGGGAAGCATCCAGAGGAAAGATAATGAGTTCTGTTTTGGACATGTTGAGAGTTTCAGATGTCTACTGGATATCCAGTTCAAGATGTCTGAAGGTTGGGGTCAGCAGAGAGGTTGGGGCAGGAAAGGGAGATTTGAGAATCATCATCAAAGAGATGGTAATTAAATCTATGGTAGCCGATGAGGAGTAGTATAGAGGGAGAAGAGAAGACAGCCAAGGAAATAAAGAGTAGATACCAGGACTAGGGAGTTCTATAGAGAGGGGACCCTGAAGTCCCCAGGACTAGGGGGCTCTGTATAGAGGGAGCTTTGATGTAACCTGTAGCACTCAGTGATAGGCCAGAGGTTTCCCTAACTCACAGAGTGAAGGCAGTACGAATCCCCATAATCACCCAAGCGTCAACTGGCAAAGTCAAGGGACAGTTGCTGGATCCTTCAGCTGACTTTTTCTTCCTTCCTTCTTTCCTTCCCTTCTTCCTGCCTTCCTTCCTTTCTTCTTTCTTTCCTTCCTTCTTTCCTTTTTTCTTTCCTTCTTTCCTTTCTTCCTTCTTTCCTTCCTTCCTTCCTTCCTTGCTTCCTTCCTTCCTTCTTCCTGCCTTCCTTTCTTCCTTCCCCTTCTCTCTCTCTCTCTCTCTCTCTCTCTCCTCTCTCTCTCTCTCTCTCTCTCTCTCTCTCTCTTCCTTCCTTCTTTCCTTC